TTTCGAGTCCCGGGACTGGGACCCCTACTTTGAGGCCACCACGACCATTGAGTGTGACGCGTGTTTGTCAGGAATGGGTTTCTGGGTGCCTGATACTGCTGAGGGATTCGTCTGTCCAATCCCTAACATGGAGGATGAGCCATTGCTGATTTTCTTCTTTGAGGCCCTATGTGTATGCTCAGCGGTCCATTGGACAGCAGAAAATCAGGAGCCAGTCCTTCGACATCGCCTCACAGTCAAAACTGATAATCACAACACAGTGGACATCTTCAACACTTTGAAGGCTGCTCCATTCTACAATCCCATACTTAAATCCACAGTGGATATCCTCTTGGTGTACAACATTGATTTATGTGTCGTCCATATTCCTGGCCACCGAAACTCTATTGCAGATGCTCTGTCATGTCTGAGGCTACTCAAAGCCCAATGCCTGTGCCCTGAGCTCATTATTGACACCTTTAAACCCCCACTGGGAATCGTGGTGGGGGGATCCAGATGTTGATCAAGCTCTCGCTGGGGTCCTGTCAAAAGGCTCGCATGGTCTGGACCCCGGAGCGCTTATAGCATGAACGTGCACTCGCATTAGGAATGGCCATTGACAAGTCTTCTTTCTCCTCTTACACATCTGCCCTAAACTCTTATATCACTTTCTGTCGCCTTCATGACTTCCCTATCAAGCCCACCGCTAACACCCTCAGCTACTATATCGTCTTCATGTCTTACCACATCAAACCAGACTCTGTTGACAGTTATCTCTCAGGCATTTGCAACTGCTTGGAGCCCTTCTTTCCCGACGTTCGTGCAACCCGACAGGGTCCTTGGGTTGCTAGGACGTTAAAAGGATGCAGGAGGTTGCATGGATCCCCAATCAAGCGTAAACTTCCTCTTTCCTGAGACAATCTCAGGCTTGCCATTGCTAAACTGGGTGGTTCGCAGCAACACAATGACCGGCTGTTCCTTGCAATGCTTTTGACAGGATTTCATGGCCTTCTCAGATTGGGAGAGATGACGTTCCCCGACTCCAAGAAGTTGAGGAGTTGGAAGAAGGTCACCCATCGGTCATCCATTCAGTGGTTCTCAGATGCTTATGCGTTCCTATTACCAGCCCACAAAGCTGACTTTGCCTTTGAGGGCAACAAAATCATAATTCCCATGTCTGCTGACTCTGCACTAAATCCACTGCCTGTGTTTGCACCGTATCTTCAATCCCGAGATAACTGATTTCCTCTTCTGCCCTCTCTTTGGATCACTGCTGAGGGTTCGGTTCCCACCTGAAGCTGGTTCCTGTCACACATGCACAAGCTATTTCCTGACCCACATCTTGCTGGCCAGTCCATGGATGCTGGAGGAGCAACAGCGCTAGCTGAGGATGGGGTCCTACCTTACCTCATTCAAGCTCGAGGTCGATGGTCGTCCGATGCTTTCTTTATCTACATCAGGAAGAACCCGACCTTCCTGATGACGCTAATCGCTTCCAAGCATTAAACTTTCCCCACTTTCATCTCCTCTCATGTCTCCCTTCGTTCGACTTACTTCCTTTTCACTATTACCCATTAGCACTCGCACACAAAAGCAGGTTGTAATTTTAGGCCCAAATGGGTGAATGACTGGCTAGTGAGTGGATCTCGACAAGCCTTGAATACCAATTATGGTGCCTTTCGATCGATGTCCGATAAAACTGATATTTGAAAAAGGAAAGAATTGGGGACATGGCTTCTGCCACTACTGGATCATAGCCAACCAAAAATGATTAATATTCTTCCGCCTCTCGCCCTATTCACCCCAGCAACTGACATGGACACCTTGGTTCCCCATATCCTCATCTAACAACTGAACAACACTCACCTGGATCAATATTGGACTTGAAGCAAGAAGCATCGGCCCCTCCATGAAGGTGCAAGTATGACCCTGGCAGCACCTCAAACAAAGGGCAGGATGGGAAAATACCTTGAAGGTGCGTACACTGTCTATCCTCCTTGACGCGGTCCTAACTTCCTTGTCCTACCTTACCGCGATTTGCTTCCACGGAATCAATCTTGGACAAGACCACTCGCTTGTGGTGCACTTCCACTTGTCTGCTATCACTGACACTATGCGTCCTCAATGCAGTGTCTGACTCAGATTTTACATCGACCTTGCTATGCTACATTACATGTTCTCTGAGCTGGGTTTTGCTTCCGCGGAGCCTTTTGCACGATGTCGAACTTTTACGTGATGAACAATCCAGCTCGAGATATCACCTATTCAAGAGGCAGGGTAAAGGACTACAACAGATACAGCAGCTTATGGAAGGACAAGAGTCAGAGTCGAGGTGCGTCATACTCTCCTTTTGCTGCTCTTCTAACAATGACATTATCCAGGCCCTCCCCTTCCCTCACTGCGGTGTCCTGCCATACGTAGATCCTTTCTTTCTCCTCATCAGCCCCGTGGACCACATAATCAGCTCACCCATGCTCAGCTTCGATGCCTCAGCCTCACCATCCAATCTCACCCAACGTACCCGTCAATTCTAGCCCCCATCCCACATCCAATCCAAGCTCCCAGCGCTTCGTCTTTGTGGGTGGGCGCTTTTATCAAAAAGGGCCCTTGTGAGGCTGCTAATGCCCTCGTTCATCACATCAAAAATCTCACATATTGTGACGTCCATTCCCTTTCAGTCCCTTTCCAAAGGATAGTGCCCCTTCTGTCTTTGTCGGAACAAGTTTTCTATGTTTGCAAATATAGTTTCATTGGGTTGCATCTCGACTCCCATGATATGAACATTTTCCCGAAGCACATCACTGCTAAGGCCGTCAAGGCTCATGTTACCAAGGACGCGTTCTTCTCACAGATAGACAACCGATGTGACTGCATACTGTGGGAGGGTCGCTGCATTTACTATGGTCGCATTGATCCTTACCTGATTTTTGGTTGTGAAATTGTGTTAGACCTCACGGAGTGAATGTTTGAACAGCAGCAGAGCTGAGCACTGTTTCGCTCATGTTTCTCCGACACTTTTTGGGTGTCCATGAGAATTCTGCCGTGGCTTTTCTTTATTCTGAGATGGGTACACGTTTTCTTTTCCAGTCAAATGGAAATGTCCATCCTGACCACCGTTTGCTCTATTGTAGGATTGACACCACTCCCTTACCATCGTGTCCTCTTAGCTTTATCTTATTTGCAGTATGTTTTGTTTTTGCCAGAACGGCACTATGCCAATCTCGCACTTCAAGGTAGGGCATCACTGTGTAACTTATGTACTGTAATGAAGAAGTGGCATCAACAATGCATTCTTGAAAGGAGAAAAAAAATTAAAAACATGATAAATATTTTGAATTTGGATCCGGAGCTGCCTACTAGGTTGATATGTTTGGCCTTTATTAGATAGAGTTCTGTCAGGGTTATCAGAAAAGCGGCTTCGGTAGAGCATTTTTGAGTTTTAAGGCATGAGAGCAGAAGAATAAGAGTTTGTAGTCAGTGGTTATATCTCGATCCTCCGCTTCGGTATCATCCGCTTCCTGAGCAACTATTCAGCACCTTGCTATTTATCTGCCGGATTGCCTGGGGGTTGCCCGAGGCCAGTGTTGAGTCGATAGTATCTAGAAAATAATAAATGTACATGAAGAAATGAAAATGGATGTTTTCGAGACTCCGACACTCGAGAGTCTATGCATTGTTGACTCTCCAGGTATCATGATTTTTCAGTGGTACTATGGTATTTTCTTGATTATCGTGGAAGTTACTGCCGCAATGCCATTGTCAATGCCTCAGTTTATCATTACATCACTGGCTTTCTCAAGACTCAAGCCTGCTTTTTAGCGTTAAACATTAAACATTCTATGTTGACAAATTACAACCTTGTTTTTAAAATTTTACAACTGAACAACACTATAAGTATGATCAGTAATGCACAATAATTTTATTTGTGGGTCTAGAGAAAGCCATGCTGCATCGAAATTGCACATCGCGATCCGTTTGCACATGCCGACCACCCGCAATAAGCCAAACATTGTCGGTGTTGATGTTTTACCCCAATGAACCTTATCAACTATTTCTGATCCAGTAGCAGTGTAAAAATGTCTTTTAATTCTACTATAATCTACAGAATACCACAACTCAGCATACATTGCGGCAAGCCAAGCGTGTCCATGGAAGTCCAAGTACTAAGTCAGGCCTGATCATCCGAGTTTCTCCATTGTACTTCGCTTCATCTGGGGCTTCTTCGTTTCAACATCCTCAGGTACCCGGGATTGAGATATAACCATTCACTTGAGACTCGAAGAATAAGTCACATTGTGGATGGCCCACTCAACCTGAACCTAACCCTAAGTCCTACAAGCCCCGGAAAAATAAATAAATACCTTAAAAAAATACCTTGATTTTACATGTGGATATAAGTGCTGAAGCAAAGCGTCCGAAGCAGACGGCAGGCCTCACCCTCAACGCACCATAGAATATTAGATGACCTAAAAAAAGCAGATGATGATGAACATTGATTCTCTAATGCAGGTTCCTCTAGCTCATCTGCGGGTAGACCGAGCACCATTGTATCAGGGACCTTAAGGTTTTTTAGATTTTTGGGTTGGGCTAACCAATGATTTGGCAGAAGTCAAATTTGTAGAGAAGGTTGAATAGAACTGCTGCCAGTTTCAACATGGTCTCTAGTTTCCTGTATTTATGTCATCCATACTGCAACTATAAAGCAAAGCACATATCAGATGTCCTTAGTTGTTACTACAGTTCTACCTTCTTTCTAGAGTGTACACGGACTCAAGTGTGTGTATAACATTCAAGCATGCATATTTACATGCATCCCTGACCATTATGCTCTGCTTAGGACCGATATCGTCAGCTCTGCAACTCCACAAGAACCCGAGGCACAGCTAGCAAAAGAGCACGACAATGGACAATTTTGCAATACTGAATGTAAGGATACACAGTATATGCTTATTACCATCGGCTTTCATTACTGATGAGGAACAATACAGGTACGCCCGCGTATTGACTCCAGCTGAGTTTGAGCGGTTGTCATTGGAATTGACGGGTATTCATACTACCCATTGCGTGGTTGCGTGGCGGACACCTTAGCAGTAAAACATTACCTTGAAGAAGACCTCCTCATGCCAAAGGAGCGAATCCAAAGTCTTCTTGGACCGGCGGACCGGAGTGACAAATCGAATGACACATCCTCCTTCCCTTCCCGGGCAAACATTCTAGCTGTCCTTCTCAGTCTCATCACCAACCCAAACATCGAGCACGGCGATCCTATCATCATCTTTTTCGCCAGACATGGTTCTCGCTACCCGTTGTCAGATGACGACGATGAGCCTGATTTTTTTGACGAGGTCCCTGATGATGAACGCTCTCGCAAATTTGTTGAGGCGCTCTGTCCCATGGACCGAAACACCCTCGACAGTAGTGGCACATTTGTCCCTGATATCACTGACTGTGAGATTAATACTATCCTCTCCCAAATCTCTCATACTAAAGGGCATCGGATCACTTTTATCCTGGATTGCTGTCACGCAGGCAGTGTCACTCGAACCTTGAGCTCACCAGAGCAGACTGTTTCTCCGCTAGAGCATGCCTCGGTCGGAGATATGCTCCTCGCTGCCGAAGAGACCCTTAGGGATCTCCCTGGTTATCGATCAATCGCCGCAGAGGATTGGGTCCTGGACATGGATTCCCATGTTATGGTAGCGGCATGTAGGGGAGATGAGGTTGTGAAAGCGAGGCGGGTAAAGAAGGAAAAAGGCACGGAGGTATGGGGCAGTGTATTCACAAGCTCGCTCTTGAAGGTCCTGAAGTCTGGTGTGTTGGGAGAAAGAGCGACGTATGTCGATCTTATCAAGGCTTTGCCCCAATTCCATTTTCAGACACCAATCGCGGCAGGAGGACACAGCAATACGTGTCTTTGGTATCAAGACTGATGTAGATTGTCACTAGTATTATGAGTAAATCAAGATTCTCAAAGTCAGGAGAAGAATCGCGTACCATAGAAGACTATGCATCTACCTAATGTCTAGATAGGGAAGATGTGATGGTGCGAGTTAATGACAGATCTCAGAAGTGTTGTCTGCATCGAGCACACCAAAGCATACGGTCATGGGAATTGCTGTCATGTTCTTCATATCGGTCAAGAGGTACCGTTAGGCGCATCTATGATGCTGGATTGTCAAGATCGTCTAGAAACCTGTGACTTCAGTCTTTCCGCATATGTATATCGAGACGTCCGCTCCTCAACACGACAATGCCATGGATGTTGAAGCTAAGGGAACATCATGTGCATATATTTAGTGCCGAGACCCTTTCCTATATACCGCGAGACGGCGAGGATAGTTCAACACGGACTATCCAAGAAATAGATATAGGCTGAGAGCAAAAATCTATCAGGTTACACGCATACAAGACGCTGAAGCCGAAATTACCATCGATAGGTCTAGGAGAATCACGTATATAAGCGCATACCCAACCACCGAAATTACCTCTTGCCCTATTCACCCCAGCACTGGCATGGATACCTTGGCTCCCCATATCGTCGTCTAACATTAACTGGATAATGCGATACCGGACTTGGAGCGACTCGAGACATCCGCCAACCACGCCTTTTCACAGTGTCGGTCCCTCCAAGAGGGTGTGAGTACAACAAGCAGCAGGGATATTAATTTGAAGGGTGCGTACACTGTCTATCCTCCTTCGCACAGTTCTAATTTCCTTGTTGCGGTTTGCTTCTGCGGAATCAATGTTCAATCCCGCTTGCTCGTGGTGCACTTCCGCTCGTCTACTATTGATACTTTGCATCCTCAATGCAGTGTTTAATTCGAATCTTCCGTCGACATGTTCAGGACAATACATTCAGCCCTTGACAGCAAGCTGGGATTTGCTTCCGCGGAACCTTTTCTGCTGCGGATCAAGTCCCCGAAAGACATTGCTCGTTCAAGATTCAGGGTAAAGGGCTGCAACAGATACAGCAGCTCATGGAAAGAAATCAAGGTGTATCACACTCTTTCTCCCTTCACTGCTCTTCTAATAATGACATTATCCAGGCCCTCCCCTTCCCTCACTGCAGTGTTCTGCCATATGTAGATCCTTTCTCCTCATCAGCCCTGTGGACCACATAATCAGTTCACCCATGCTCAGCTTCGGCTCACTGTCCGATCTCACCCAATGAACTCGTCAATCCCAGCTCCCACCCGGACGCTAACCCTGAGCTTTGTCTTTGTGGGTGGGCGATGTCCCCGTGCGGGCACATCAGGATAGCCAAACCCACTCAAGAACGAAGGGCCTGGGTGGAGGATTAGCATTTATGCTCATACCGCACGCTTTCTCCTAGACAGGGTCAACATGCGCCACACTTTCTTAACATCATTGTTCACTGGCAGTTCCTCCACTTTCTCCTCGTCTCAAAGGCCCCTCCAACACAAGCTTGATCTCACCCAGCTCCTCAAGCCCCCACTCCTCCCAGTTTCCCAATCAACGAGGATGCTTATGGCGCAATCATCTTTAGTTTCCCTGTGGGGTCACAGATGTCTCATCTGTGAGAAGAAGCGGATCTGCAGCCCTGTAGACAGATTCATGAGGATGATGTTCAACAACCACTGTGCTGCTAGCCAGCGAGTATGGCAGGATTGTCGATATCACACACCGTGATGAGTCGTTCGTCATTGCATACTTTGCTGTTTAGTTAGGAAAATAAGATGGCTTTGTCCTATTATACTTGTTGTGTGGCAGATATAACGCTCAAGGCTTGAAGCTTGACACGTGATGTTCAAAGTGAAACTGAGTTTGTGACCGCTCGCGTGAATAGTAAAATTTAATTACTTTGGTCCAAAAATTTATCGTGGCTCCTCTGATGAAAAACATTCTCTTCACATAAATCAAGGCATCAAGTGGGAATCGAATCCCTGATGGGTCAACAACTGATGCCTATTTAGGCCATGGCAACGACCCAGGTTATGTTACGGTTTATTCATTTTTCTTTGTTTTACTCAGCCTGATTACTCATATGTGATCCTAACGGATCATTTCTCACAGTACTATTATTAGCGTAGCCACTTGTATTTAAGTAGAGCCTTCGCTGGTCTAAACCCCAGCTTCGGCTAAGGTTTAATCTACCCAACTCGAACTCTGTCCTTCGTGACTATCTGTCCGCAATCCGCTTTGATGTCGCCTTTGACTTACTAGAGTATCTACCACCGAAGTGCGAGTGGTGATCCTAGTTCGATCTAAGTCGACTATTAGTTGGTTGTTAACATTTAGCTGAAGCTCGTCCTACATTGCTCAGCATTTCCCGCTGCCCAACATTTATACGCTTATCATCCTACTCCTGGTAGCCGATTGGATACTTCCTCTCGTACTACCCGATCCAATCCTCACCGTCGTCCTCATAGTCCTAGTGACTATTCTCATAACCCAGACAGCCATCACTGCCCCGCTACTAGCAGCTTTGCTCGTGGTGGCCTACATTGGTTGTCTTCGAATCTGAACCCATTTACCTTTCTCTTCCAACTCGTTTGTCTGTTAACAATTCTATTGTTGACATTGACGAGCACCTTCGAGACAAGCGAGGATCTGCTGATGACTGGTTCCAACTACGAAACTGACCTCAGCCTAATCATCGCCATTCTCATTGCACTCACCATCCTTACTGTTCAACTTTTAATTAACCATCTGACAAGCTGCTACCAACTGTAGCAGTTGAATGGTTAATTACAACCATCGAATCTCACGAAGGATAGATCCGCTCACGGATGCCCTGGTCCAACGCCATTCCCGCCGTCTTCGCGACTTTTATACTCTTTTTCTTGTCCATTATTTTGTACCGACTACACCGCTGTTTCCAACAACAGAGGAGAGTCCATGCACAACTTCCATTCCACTACGTTCCCAGCACTCCCGCATATCCTCCTCCCGTAATTCACATTCCTGAGGCATCTCAGCAGACGATACGAGATGTCGAATCCAACGTCTCCAGGGGACATGGAGAATCCCTCTACGGATCGTCACGGTCCAGCTCACGATACTCAGGATCGAGCACCGACTCCTACAGAAGCGCTACCACCGAGTCAGCTGACTCCATCGATATCACAGATACCAGGGGCATATTCCTTGACCGAGGAGACTTGCCCCTACCAGGCCTCTTCGACCAGTCTCCAGTCGAAGGCAAGTCAAGCACCGACAGAGGGGGACGACAAGGCACCAGGCATCTGGTCGAGGGCGAGGAAAGCCCTGATACCGAGTATGAAGGGGACGAGCTCACCGACCTCGAAAGGATCCGACTCGAAAACATCCTCAGTGACCTCTACCCGAATGAAGAAGAAGATGCAACCTATTCCGGAGACAACTGGAGGGGAAGGTCGCAGACAAAGTGGAGCGATGCAGACTGGGGAAGCGAGCGAAGGAGGTACGAGGAGCGTAGTCACGGAGACGACTACGACAGTGATTCTGGAGAGCTTGTCCTTGGGGCCTCCACCACAACTACCGCCCGTACAGATGGAGCAGGATCCCTTCTTCCTGCTTGGCCGACAGACAGGGGCCCCCCCGTCGGCTGGCATCCCAGCACCAGTTGGGTCTACGCTGACCCAGGGGAAGAGGCTCCTGTGGCCTGAGTCCCGACCTTGAGGCGCATCCCTGTTGCCGTCCGCCCGGAAGCCTCAACGCCCACTCCCAACATCCCCAGGCCTGAACCGACGGATCAGCAGCTCTGGGAAGAGTTCCCGATTTACAACCCCGAGGAACTTGGAGCAATTGCCGGGGCCAGACCACTTGCCCCCATCCCCACTTTCATACCATCAGTCACGGGTCGAGCATTCGCCGACCCCGTCCCTAGCAACCAGCGTCCATGGACGCTTCTCTACCACACGCTCGTCAAGTCACTCAACATCCCTCGAGATGCCCGGGAGTCCCCAGAAGTCGAGGCCTGAATGGACCGAGCAAGAGCGGCAGACACACGCTCTCGATGTGCTGAAATCGCCGCCCTCCTCGGGCCCAATGGCTTCTATGACCTCCCCATCGAACCTGACGCCACCCATGCCGAGATTGAAAACAGGCAGCGAGCTGCCGCCCTTCGATACGCAGGGCTCGCCGAGCGAGCAGGAACAGACCTCGAAGCCCACCGAAGAGCCTGGCAGGCCTACGAGTCGGAGATCAGTGACCCCGACTCCGACATCGGGCAGTGGAAGAGAAACAAGGAGATTGACAGACTCGCCAGAGAGAGGAAGGAGGCCAAGGATGCTGAGTCAGCCGCCAAACAGTTCCCTTGAGGGCGAGGTGATGAGGGCGGTCCGGACGGTCCTCGTCGATCCCATGGCTCCAATTCCAACAATCTTCAACATTTTACCGTGGCATGGACTATACGAGATAATGATGGAGGATATGGAGCGAGACTCCCAGTGGCTCCTCACGGAGGCTGGGGAAGATTATCGACATGCGAAATACATGGGGGACGTATACCTCATGAAAAATATCCTAGAGGTGGAGACATGGCATCAGGCCGCCTTGGTATGGAATCAGGTACACCCCGATAACACACGACCAGGGTGCG